AAAAAAAACGGCATTTTTTTCTTTTGCAACCTACTCCTACTCTGAGTTATAAAGACCCTTCTTTTCTGATTCTCTGCAGTCCAAGCATCGAAGGTTCACATTTGCTTTCTGCATCACCTTCGGTACTTAGTGGGATTGGACAGACTTTTTCCGAATTTTAAAGTTTTGTTTTTCTTCTTTTTGATTAGGAAACTGTTCAAATTGGGATCTGTCCGATCCTTCCCACTTGTCTGCTTCCTACCTATTCCTCCCCCTCCATTCCGGGTACTGGGCCAGTCCATCAGATTGGCCCTCGGGTGACTCTTCAGACTTCGGGCACAGCAGTGCATGACACTGCTCACTCGATCACAGACCAAGGCCATGGACCGGAAGGCGGGGGAATCCCTCCTGAGCTATGAGGAACGCCTGGCGGCATTCATTCAGGAGGCCAACGACAGGGCCGCCGCCGAGGCCAAAGAACGTAATCAGCTCGAACAAGAGGAGGAGGCCAAGCGACAGAAGGAGAAACAGGACCGACTTCCTCAAGAAGAGGCAGACCTGCAGGCGGCAGCCGAACACCGGTCACGCCAGCGGGAACGACTGTTCACGCGGGAGACCGTGATCGGCGACGAGGCCGCACATTGGGTGGAAGTGACATCTTCAAACGGGGCCCCGGAGACTGCGAAAGGGCTGTCAGCCCTTGCGCAGGTCTCCCACGACCTCGTGGCCACCTGCGCTCTGCAGCAGGAGGAAATCCTTCACCTGCAGCAGACAGTGGACCAAATGCTCGCACGGCTGCAGGCGTTGGAGAAATAGCGAGCTGCTGTAGCAGCCGCAGGGCCTTCCACCCTTACCACCCGTGTGCAAGTTTTGAAGGATGACGTCAACAACATCAAGCGTGTGCATCAGGACTTCCGGACGTCGCAGCAAGCAACAAACTTGCAGCTGGAGACGCAGGTACAGGATGCTGCCACCGTGACGCCCGCCGCCGCATCCTCCCGGCGCCCACCCAAACTGGATGACATTCCAGTTTTATGCGATCAGTCCAACACGAAACCGATCCCGTGGTGGCGCCAGTTTACTCTCAGGCTCGACATGCACCATGTCCCGAACAACGATCGACATCCGTGCTTGTACCACCGATCTGGTGGTGCATGTCAAGCATGGCTGGACAACATCTTGACCAGCCACGACGTAGMAGTGTCGGAACTGCACACCAAGCTCACTTRGCAGRAGTTGACTGACGCCTGGCACAAGCGATTCCAAGTGGAGCCGCCCGACCTGCAAGCGATGGACAAGCTCAACAAGCTCCATCAGAACACGCTGCTCAGTCCGGACTGGATTACCGAGTTCCAAAGACTCGCCTCCACACCTAACCTGCCGCTTGCTTTCCGTGCTATTAAGCACTTGTTTATCATGCGCTCGTGTCCAGCTYTGCAAAACGCGCTGACGCAGATTGCAGAGACACTCGACACATCCGACAAGCTTTTCAGCACCGCGTCACGGATCATTCTCACGACTATCGAAGCCCTCAACGCTGGCCGATCTTCCGCGACGACGAGCGGCACCCAGCCCAAGCCAGAGGTGGCTTGCATTACTTCTACCGAGGCTGCAACACCAAACGAGGGTGAAGTGTTGGCAGCTGCCCGGGATGGTGGCCGGCCGCGCAACAATCACGGCCGCGACAAGACGAAGACTCAGTCCACCTCTCCACCGAGCACCGGATCAACCGCCGACGAACCTTGGGCACAATACGGACTCTCGGCGAATTCTTATCGCACGAGACTCAAATACCGTTACTGCCTTTGGTGCAACAGCACCATCCACGATGTTGCACATTGCCCCACCAAGGGGAAACCCCGTCAGGGAAAGTAGGCGCCGCCGAGGGTGACTCGACACCTCCCTCGACGCAATCGGAAGCGGTTGTGCGCACGACCGCCCTTTCTTCCAAGGCATATGGGGATGTCGGAAGTCTTCCACTTTCGTTCGAAGACTTCGCTGCCCGGCTCGTTCCTTCACTGGACGCTTCTCAAGGACAAGATACATGTGCGGTTTTCTCACCGTCCGAAGGTTCTTCCGCCAGTTCGTCTTCATCAAGGGATTCGACAAGCATGTTCAACAAGGAGGCTTTGAACCCGCTCACACCCGAGGACTTCGCTAGGATTCCTCTCCCTACGACGGGCAACCTTCCGGGACCACAAAGTGCAGCCCTATGCGCCCTCTTACACGAGTATCTTTCCTTCCATGCACCACCAACTTCGCCGACGGTAAACGAAGTCGCGGTGGGGGACATGCTTGGCTACGTTGCCAAGGTGGCGCGCGAGTTTGTCTCGCAACGGTATGAAGAAAACAACGCACCGTTGCTCTACGTTCGCATTCAGATTGGGCAAGTGGCTTGCAACGCTTTGCTAGATTGCGGCGCAACTCGCAACTTCATCAGCGAGTCCTTCATGACTCGGGCTGGCCTTGGCGCACAAGTACGGAGGAAGTCACATCCGACAACGGTCGCTCTTGCCGACGGTAAGACGAAACAGCTTTTAGACCATTACATCTCGGCTGTCCCGGTGTACTTTGCACCGCATGCATGTGAACCCGTCACTTTTGACGTGTTGGACACCGACTTCGATGTCATTTTGGGGATGCCTTGGCTTTCTAGCGCGGACCACACGGTCAATTTCCATCGACGCACGCTCACGATTCGTGATGCAACTGGCGTCGAGGTCCCGTGTACTATTCCTCCTCCTCGCTCTTCCATTAGGTGCCAAGTCGTGAGTGCCAAATCTTTTCGAGACACATGCCGTTCCGAGCATGTTGAAGAGATTGGCATCGCTTTGCTTCGAACCGTCCCGACGACCGATTCATCATCCACAAAGGTGTCTTCCGACCCCCGTGTGACCCGGTTGTTAGACGAGTTCTCGGATGTTTTTGAGACACCCTCCGGTATAGTGCCGGACCGGCCAATCTCTCACGAGATCATACTTGAGGCCGGCGCCGTGCCACCGAAAGGATGCATTTATCGCATGTCCGAGGAGGAGCTCACGGTTCTCTGTGCGCAACTCGACGATCTACTCGACAAGGGTTGGATCCGCCCTAGCAGCTCACCTTACGGTGCGCCCGTTCTTTTCGTTCGAAAGAAGAACAAGGACCTTCGACTTTGCATTGACTACCGACGCCTCAACGCGCAAACCATCAAGAACGCAGGGCCTCTACCTCGCATTGACGATTTGCTTGAGCGGTTGGGCGGCGCCAAGTACTTTTCGAAGTTCGACCTCAAGTTGGGCTACCATCAGATTTCCATCCGCCCGCAAGATCAGTACAAAACCGCGTTTAAGACGCGATATGGGCATTTTGAGTAGGTAGTTATGCCTTTTGGCCTCACCAATGCCTCTGCCACCTTTCAGGCGGCCATGACCACCAAGTTTTGCGCTATCTTGGACCGCTTCGTTTTGGTCTACTTAGACGACATCCTCGTCTATAGCCGAACTCTAGAGGAGCATCTCGAGCACCTTCGTCGTGTTCTAGAGACTCTTCGGTCAGCCCGATACAAAGCTAACCGCGACAAATGCGAGTTTGTCCAGCAAGAGCTTGAATCCTTGGGTCATTTTGTCTCTCCGGAAGGCATTCGTCCGTTGGCGGACAAGATTCAAGCCATCCAGGAGTGGCCYGAGCCGAAGAATGTGACGGACGTCCGATCCTTCCTCGGCTTGGCCGGTTATTATCAGCGCTTCATCAAGGGTTACTCGAAGATCGCGGCCAACCTAAGCAAGTAACAAAGCGAGGAGCGACCTTTTGACTTTGACGACAACGCGCTCCATTCTTTTGAGACACTTAAAGCGGCACTCTTGTCCGCCGAGGTGTTACATATTTACGACCCGTTTCTAGCTATGCGCGTCACTGCCGATGCGTCGGGCTATGGCATTGCGGCCGTCCTTGAGCAGCACGATGGCACGGACTGGCACCCGGTCGAGTACTTTAGCAAGAAAGTACCTCCCGTGCATTCGATCCACGACGCACGGAAGAAGGAGCTTCTTGCCTTCGTCCACGCCCTCAAGCGTTGGCGACATTTCCTCCTTGGTCGGAAAGCATTCCGATGGGTAACGGATAACAATCCGTTGGTATTCTACAAGTCGCAAGACACGATTAACACTACCATTGCCCGTTGGATGGCTTTCATCGACCTGTTTGACTTTTTCCCCGATCACATTCCCGGGAAGTCAAACCGTTTTGCGGACGCCCTCTCATGGCGATCGGATCTTTGGACCGCAGTCTACTCTACCTTCGAGATCGACGACGACTTGCGGGAGAGCTTCATCCATGACTATCAAGCCGACCCCCACTGTTGCGACAAGTACACGAATTGCTCCTCTCCGAATCCGGTGCCTTCGCATTATCGGATCCAAGATGGCTACTTACTTGTGCATTCACGGGGTAAGGATCTTCTTTGTGTGCCAAATGATTCACACTTGCGCACACGGCTTCTTGGCGAGTTTCACGATGCGCCTGCCTCCGGACATTTTGGTGTCAACCGTACACTTGGCCGACTTCGCCAGCGGTTCTATTGGCCCGACCTTCTCAAGGACGCCACCCGCTATTGTGAGTCGTGCGAAGTCTGTCGGCGTTGCAAGTCACGCAACCATCGTCCGTTCGGCGAGCTACACCCATTACCAGTACCCCTTGGGCGACGGGAAGCAATTGCTATGGATATCACCGGCCCCTTCC